CAGGTGAAATCGTGCCTTCGTCGATCACCGACATCCCACGTATGTGCAATTTCCAGCACTTGAACATGAGGAACACCTGTGAGTTCCCCTCCTCCTACAATTCTCTTCTTTTCCCAATTTTTCCTTTTAGATCTTGAGAGAAGCATAAACGCAACTGAAGTTGCCAGATCAGTTTCACCTTGAAGTTTTCTTAATAAAGTAAAAAAAGTAGCGAAAGCCGGCAAAAACAGAGACGGAGGTATCCGAAGGATATGGTGTAGTAAATTTTAAAAAGGGCACATTTTTCTCTTTATTTTCATGTAGAAGTATTCTGGATTGCTTTTTATTAAAAACATGTGCTTCACCTGCGCTTTATTCCTTTGGAAGCACTTATGACTGTTACATGTATAGGCATAACAGATACTATGACAACCACATTTGGCCAAACGTCCACCAAGAATTTGACGATGTCTAGACATACAGACCTGTTCCACCATCTACAGCACATCACAACTTACCTCATCCGTGAAGAGAAGGCGTATTCTGCGTAATAATATCTATTTCGCCGACATACTACCTGGTCTTTGGTACACAACTCCGCACTCACCCAATCATGCGTCACAGTATAGTGCTTTCGGACAAAGGTACACTTCCAGTCGGATACGAAAAGGAAGTTTGCACACTAAGGAAGGAACAAAACCACCAGCAATGTCATGTGCAGAGATCACTTTTTGTGTGGGCACCGAGAACAGCGCTGAAAAGAGACGAGAGAACCATGTAATACAAGTTTATCTGAATGTATCTTTTGGAATAAGAAGCGGTCAATATATCCGGATCCCGAAACTAAGTACACCTATTGTACCGCAAATAAGAATAAGCCAAAACCCTGTATATCTTTGATCCCCTCGACCCGTGTATAATACTGTCCAATTAAGAATGTTCACCCTGCTCAAATCATGGATGTAAATAAAATGCGTAAGAGAGAAACACACAATTGCTTACAATGGCTTGGATATCGAGACTTCAGTACAGGCTGCTCTCGCCAATTCTCATGAGTCTACCACGGGAGGACTGATGCCACCGACTGTTGGGCCGCTTGAGAATACCTGAGGGACTAAGTGACCTTTCTATAGTAGCACTGTATTTTATTATATGGCGTCTGCATATTCGAGAACCAGCAACATTAAAGTGCATTCTAAATTTATTTCAGCTTATCTGGGCTCTGGAGGAGAGAGGAGGAAAGCAGAACATGAGTATCGCTTTCTTGAAGGAGCGGCAGAAATCCATCAAAATCCAGTTCTCTAGGCAAAACAACTAGAGTGTTTTTCTAGAATCGGTGCCTCTTTTCTCTGTCCAAATTTGCCCCACGTACCACCGCTCAAAATTTTCACGCCAAAACAACAACACTTTTCATCCTTCATGCAAAGAATTTACCTAGCTCTCCTCTATCAGGCTACATCGACAAAGTAAGTGCAACAACTCTACATCTCCCTATTGACGTACAACAAAAGTTAGCAGACAATATCTATCTAAAGCTCTCAAGCCACACAAGTGTTGCATTGGTTTCGCTCCATCTAGTATAAGACAAGTAGGAGGCTATCAGCGTGCTTGTTTCAGCTACGTTCTTTTATCTGAAAACACGTGCATGCTGAAAGTATAAAGTTGGAAAATTAAGCAAACACATGCAGGCCTAATGGCTTCTTAGTTAATAGGAGCCAATACTGCAAAGCGGTAGACTGAGGCTGGAATTCGCAATTGGTAGAGTAAATAGGACAGGTGTCTTTCTGCAATATTTTCCAAAATATAGCCGTCACTATTTTAATATTACAGACCTCATAGCCTGCAATGAGTTTAAATGATTAAATCTAAAACTTCTTTTTGGGATACGCATTTCCTTCAATTGCCGTAACTGTAATGCACTTTGTAGAGTATGTTCAACCTACTTAAATCAACTTCATTTACCACTCTCATCAGTGTAGGATTAGTGGTCTTCCATGAAGTCATAAAAAGGCTTAATTGCACAAAAATAGTTTGTTGGTGGTGCAGAGAAAGGAGAGATGTTAAGGAGCCTGAATAAGTTAATTCAACAAGGCGCAGGCACGAAATACAAAGAATAGAAGGACTGTGTATTAGACAAGACTGTAGCTTAAAAAAAAGAATTATCAAGTCGCTGTGATAAATTCGACCGCTAACTTCAGTACGCATCCATTGTCGACACCTGCAATCGTGCAATTTTCTTTACAACTAAAGAAATTCAGTTTGATGCGTTCGATTCAGTAGTTTTGAATTGATGGAAATCAAGCAATGAATAATTACAGCCATCACGGCGATAAAAACAGCAAGAACTACCTTACTTTAGCCGCAATGGCTAGTCCTAGGTTGGTGCACTGCTTAAAAAATTTGAAAATCTAAGCCTACTGGGCGAGAAGGTGGGGCACAAAAGATGGCAGGATAATAAGGTGGTATGCATGACAAGCAAAAAGATAAGATGCCTATCTACCTCATAGTGAGCCCCAGTCGCACCGATAGTTAATAGTGCTAATGGCAATCAGTGGCAGCTGATGTTACAGAGGTTGCATTTTGTTTAGGCTTTGTTTGCACTCCAAGCACGCGTGTGTGGTGTAGCGGTTAGCATGGCTGCCTTCCAAGCAGTCGATCCGGGTTCGACTCCCGGCACACGCAAGAAATCTTACTTGCTTATTTATGTATTTCATCAATTCATGCACCTCTATAAGCATCACAGGAAAGGAGTCCACAGGACAGTTTACTCCTAAGAGATAAATTTATTTTTTCCCGAAGTCGTAGTTTTTTGCGAAGATAGGTCAAGTAGATGCATACAATCAGAGAAATGAAAGCTTAAACTTGCCCATAAAAATCCGGCTTTAAAAAATGCAGAGCTACCTAGATTGCATGACGGAGCTTAGGACGGACCTCCTTGCCTTGTGCTTTTGGTAGTTTTCTGCATTCACTTCCTGATTGGTCATGAGGTCTAGATATGGAAAGCATACATGCAGGCTGTTGGAGATGATGCCTAGGTGACCATGTGAGTAGCTTAATGTCACTTCTTGGCAGAATACCATAAAGGCAATATTCTTTTATTACCGTTTTTCACTGCTAATAGGTAGTTGATAATATCAGAACACAACGTCTGGAATGGAATCTAAGCAAAACCCTTCTCTCTTGCTGCTTAATTAGCTAAAATGTATAAGGTTGTTCAATCAAGATTCATTATCAATTAGCTGCCAACCGTCGTAGTAAAACAAAGGAACATTTCTGCTTGTGAATTTTAAAATGCCGCTAAAATGCTTCGCCGAAACACTGGACCCTATAATTGCGGTGATGAGGCGAATGCGAGTATTAGTGAAAATGTGGTTGTCTCCTAGGCCAAAATAATTTACCAAGCCCAACTTCTGTCCCTTAAGCATCATGGTGCACGCCAAGATCGCATATGAATTAGGGGAAAAAGGCCTACCTCTTCGGCTTTTTACGACCATTCTTGCACTGAGTGAGCGTCCCTAATTTTCTCTCCATTCTTGAATTGTCTTCGACTGCAAAAAACTCGACTACTAGTAATGTATTTTCGTCTTCGGCGAATCTTGGTCTTTTCTAATGCTAAAAAGAGAAAATCGAGACAGTTTAAAAATGAGGATAATTTGAGTAATTACTGCTACTTAAAATTGACTGATCAGCTCATAGACAATGACTATTTGTCCCTCTCACTACCCATTCGTTTAATTTTCGACACCCAACGCGCCAACCAAAGAACAACCTAGGTGTATGCCACATTTTGTCTTTAGAAGTGCCCAATTGTTACCCACATATTTTTTGTGGAGAATATTGCCTATTTATGGCATAGAAAACTGCATGGACCACTTCGGGTTTTTGCGTGAGACTCCTACAAAGCAATTTGTCACTCTCC